TTGATTTTTGTGTTTGTAAACACATCCACGCTTCCTGCATTCAGCCAAGTCCTTCACAGATCTATTTGGTATATTCTCAGTGCTGTTCTTGCTGTTATGACGCATTTTAGACTCTATGGTGAAACTATTTTTTGATACTTCTTCTTCTTCTTCTATCCCGTGGTTGGGGCACCACTGCATCTGAAAACCAGCTCTCGCCATCTATTTTTGTCCTCTGCTCTCCTCAGATTGTCACCCATCGTCTTTCCTGTCCACCCTGTAATGTCGTCCTCCCATCTCCTTCTCTGCCTTCCTCTCTTTCTCTTTCCTTGTACGGTTCCTTGCAGGATTGTTTTGTCAAATCCTGTGGATCCTGTGACATGCCCATACCATTTTAGTTTTCGTCTCTTCATTGTGGTCAGTAGATCTTCATATTGCCCCACTGCGTTGGTGATTTTCTTTTTGATATTAGAGATAGATTTTCTTTTTACACTCAACAACAAGCAACAAAATGCTTCAACCACTCACCCACCCGAATAAACAACCCAAAACAAAACGAAGCAAAGCAACAACAAAATGTAAAAAACATCGGCAAAAAACAAACTAGCAAACAAACAAATAAACAAACAAACAAACAGACGTCAGGGGGAAAAAGACCACCCCACTCTTGCAAACATTCGATGTGTGTGGTTGGCGGGTGCTGTGGTGTGATTTGCTTCTTCTTTCCCATCAAACATCTAGCGTCTTTATCTCCCTTCCTTCTTTTTTGTGTTTGTTACTCTCTTATAACACAACTAATCTTTGGCACTTATATGACCTAATTGTGTTGCAAATGACCTTATGCAGTTGCGAGCGCTGTAAAACCCTCTACTATTTAAAAAAAATGCCGTAAAACACTTACCAAAAACAAACAAAATCGAATGGTAACTTGCGCATCACTTAAACTGAAAGCATTATGCTGGCTTGTGCCCCTTCCACCACACACCGAGTTACGGTATAAACCGTCAATTATTTCATGAACACGTTCTACAGTCCGGGGAAGTTACAGTTTGCTTGATGTTACAAAAGAGAGGTCTGGTAAATGTTTGTTGTGATTTTGAACTATCGGGGGAGAGGGGGGTGTTGGAGTGGAGGAAGAGAGGGGGAAGAGAGAACGGGGTG